ATAAAGCTTTATAGCTTATTAAGCTATACAGACCTTTTCGTTAAGTTACAAAATCTTTCTTACCACAGGAAAAATATATGAAGTAGTGACTGCTGTTGGCTGAGTTGGTGGGAGAAGGCCCAGAACCTGCCATGAGCTATTCCCCCATCTCAGAACACTTAGGCTACTATGGAGCACAGTTTGAAAACTAAAGCCTGATAGGTGAGGTGTAATTTCAACCCTAGATTTTCTTGGGCATACAGGGGGGGCACCTTAATAGCAGTAACCCTCATTTTACTGATTCTTCTTGTCACATGCTTAGTGAAGACCTCCTACCTGTTTCAACGAAGTCCCACCCAGACTCCCTGGAGATGTCTCACATGTCCATATGAATTGTGACCGCGTTATTGCTGTTTACACAAAGATTCCCCAGGTTCATCCCCTTTTCTCTGGCTCCAGCTCTCTCCAATGTCCCCTGTCCATACGGGGACATAAGAATTCTACTCTTGCTTCAAGTCCTCACAGAGAGTCCTTTCTGAAGACCAATTCTATAGCTCTGGCTCAGTACCTATTCTGTGGAGCTCAGACCAGGCTAAGGTGCCAGGTAGGGAAAAAATTGCATGCTGGGCTTTCATTTTCACCCCACCAGTCGTCATGAAATGTCTTCCTTTCTCTTTCAGCCCCATCCAACAAACCTGTAAATTGACTCTTCCTGTCCACTCAGTAGTTTGGGTACATTCTCTGACATGTGTGAACCTCAGTTTGGGCTCAAGGTGGAATTCATCAGACTATGTTACTTCTAACCAAGTTCCATAGCTGCTGTCCTGCTTTTCATTAGAATGACACCATTGACTTATTCAAGCAACAGCTGAGCCCAGCTCTGGGGGAGCCATGGGCTCTGTCAAAGAGATAGTTTCAGCAAATGCATCAATCCTTTGGCCCTTGGAATAAATGCGCTACCCAAAGGGCAGCTGCTGTCTTGATTATACTTCCCGGAAAACTACGAAGAAAAACGAACTAACCGATCACAAAAGCTATTTCCTGGCTCTTCTAGCAATTCTGACTAGTTTTGAGTGGTTGTTTTGTATTATCCCTTTCTTTGGGGAACAAATTAAAGTTGTGTGTTTATTTCTGCAACACTGAGAAACCCAAAGAGAAAGCCTCCCAAAAGGATGATCCTGTTGCCCATTCCAGATATTTGCCAACAACCACATGAAAAGGAAAAATAAACTTGAAGACACTGTGCAATAGATTTGCCCTTAGTATTATTTATAATTCCATTTCTATTTTAAATTCACTTGAGGTATGACCCTCCCCACCTCTCCCCACAAAGTCATTACCCACCCCAACCCCTACCCCCACAAAAAAGTGAGCCATCATTGTTTCCCTAGTATATCTGTTATGTAGAAATTCCCATTCTAGGTTTCTCAAAGTGGCACATATCTGATTTTCCTTGAGGTCTATGAGATTCGATCCAAATCTAAGGGATTTCTTATGGTGACCTGTATTTGGCCAATGTCATGAACTTCCCTGTCTCTCTGAGATTGTGTGTGATACAAATTGAACTGAGATATTATCACATATACTAGACTGTCAGGGACGGATACTCTGGCTATGCCTCCTTGCCTGGTCTAGCCTAGCCCTGGTCTTCATGACCATACCCAGGCCAGATACATAGACTAATGTATCAGTGGATCAGAGTCTCCCTCTTAGCCCCTGCTCCTAAGATCTGGAGGCTGGCTTGTGTGAGTGGATAAGAAGCAACAAACCTGGGCTATCAATACCACAGGTCTTCGAAGCTTTCTTGTGTTACCTAGTTGTAGGTCCGTGCCTTATTCTCCCTGGTGGGTGGCCCCTGGGATTTCCAGGGGATTGACCATAGACCAGATGGTAACGGGAACCACTTAGCCCACATGTTTCCCCAGGAGATCCTGCCCCCATCAGTATGCACTGACCAATCCCAGAGCTTAGGGGAAAGATCTCCTTGAGATAAAAAGGACTTTCTAAAGAAAGCAGCAAGAGAGCCTAGGAACCCTGAAGGCAGCAAACCCTACTGGACTGGAAGGACTTCAGTGTCAGTTTCCTAGGGTGGGAGGAGATTTTGAATGACCCTGAACATTCTCTTCAACTCTATGACTCTTTGGTTTTCAGTGACCACATAAACCTTGGGAGCAGAACTCAGAGAGCTGGAAAAGAAATTCAAATGATCCCAAGTGAGAAAATCAGGGACTGGACAGGGATAGACACCAAGGACCTCACTGTGTGCCTGTCTGTGTCTCTCTAGAATGTGAGGCTGCTTGCCTAGGACCTCTGGGCAGCTCATGTCTCTCCTCCCTAAGCCCTCAGGGTCACCACTGGCTGTTGTCTCTCTCTAGCATTTCTGTGCTCATAGCTGACCTGAGCTAGGATCAACATCCCTTCCTTTCCTCTTTCTGCTCACCGGACTGGAAGTCCTGCTGTGCTGTTTATCCAGCCACCTAACTGCTAAGACTGACTTTTATGTTCCCGGACCTTATGTGTATCTGTACACAAGGGCTGAGGCATCTCTGTGTCTATCTTGGTCCATCTCAGTCAGCTCAGGTTGCTCTAACAAAATACCTCAGACTGTGTGGCTTAAACAACAATTTATTTCTCACAGTTCTGGAGGTTGGCAAGTCCAAAACCAGAGTGCTAGCACAGTTGGGTTCTGGTGAGAGCTCCTTTTCTGGCATGCATATAGCTGCCTTCTTGCTGTGTCCTCAAAAGACTCTGCTCTCTTCCTCTTCTCAGAAAGACACTGCCCTCATCGTGGGCCCTACACTTGTGACCTCATCTAAACCTAAAAAACCTCCCAGAGGCCCTAATGCCTAATACCATCACTTTGGGGGTTAGGGTTTCTGAGGCTGGTTTCAGTTAGTGGCTCCTTAATGTCCAACATTTTCAGATTCTTCCAAGAGCACTATCCCTAAGCAATCTTTCTTCTGCCAATAGCCTCTTCTGCCAATGGCCTCACGTAAGTGTTATTGTGTTAAAAGAACTCATTTCCAAGATGAGGAAGAGATGAGAAAAGAAAGGAACTGAGAAATACATATGGGTTAGTTTGCTACAGCTGCTGTAACAAATTACCCCAAATTTGGTGGCTTAAAACAAAAGAAATTTATTCTCTCATAAATCTGGAGGTCAGAAGTCTAAAATCAAGGTGTTAGCAAAGTTGGTTCCTCCTGGAAGCTCTAAGAGAAAATCCATTCCATGCCTTTCTCCTAGCTTCTGGTGGGTGCTGACAATCCTCAGCATTCTTTGGTTTGTAGATGTATCACTCCAATCTCTGCCTTTGTCTTCATAGCACTTTCTTCTCTATGTATCTTCTCCCCTAAAATGTCTATAAAGACACTTGTCACTAAATTCAGGGAACACCCTGATTAGGAATAATCTCATCTCAAGATCCTTAATTACATCCACAAACACCCTTTTTCCAAATAAGGCCACGTTTACAGGTTCCAGGTAGATATATCTTTGGGGAGGAGGGAGATCATCATTTAACCTATATAACATGTAAAGGAAAATCAAATCCATATAAGAAAGGCAACTCACACCTCTATAACACTTGTGGAACACAGAATATAGACAAGTTGAGAACTGGGAGACAAGATAGTGGGTTATAGTCTTCTCTGATCTTGGGCATGATCCTTCCTTTTGTAGGCCCAATTTCTACAACTCTAACATGAGAAGATGGATTAAATGAGCTCTTCCAGCTCTGTTGTTCTATGATTCCATGTGAATAGTCTTTCCTCTAATTAGCTCTCATCTGTGCTCGTGCACACGCAAGCACGCACACACACAAAGCACATGCCGCCCTCTTGCAGATCAAGCCAGACAACTCCCAGACCCATTGGTGATTTCCACACTGACTAGAATTTGTACTTTCTCATGTGGGGAGTCTGGAAGCTAGCTTCCATTGTGTCATGTTTGACTTGGCTGGAGAAATAAATTTGGCAGTGCTTTGTATTGCCACACCTTTGTATTCTGAGTTTTTCCACAATCTTCTTGGTATTCTGGATTTTGAAACACTTTTCTTGCTTATTTTCCAGCTGAGTATTTCAGCCTTTATTCTTCAGTATCCCTGCTGCTCTTTCTGCCCTAGGAGTGGCCCACATCTCAGATGGTCTGCCCTGGCCCTGGCAGATCATTTAAAAAGTGGGTGATAGACAAAGAGGAGAGGCTTGGAAATTCCACGACATTGTCTCTTCACGGAACCCCTGATGGCATAATGACCAAGTACTGGAAATTATATCGCAACTTTACTCCAGGAAACATGTGTGCATCTAATGTTGGTGGATTAACTGTATCTTATTATCCCATACTTCTACATGTGAGGGCTAGGCAAAGGAAGTGTAGAGTCATGGAATCATAGAATAACAGAGCTAGAGAAATTGTATCCAATCTTTATTATGTGAATTTTTTGAAAATGTGAGTTATGTAAGAGAGCGAGGTCCTGTTAGTCTTGTTCACAGCTGTATCCTCAGGCCTAATCGGGCTGCGGCACATAGTAGGCACTCATTAAATTTCTGATCATGAATGAAAATGAATGGACAAGTCAGATTCTTAGAGTGCAGGTCTCACGCACCATCCTCGCCGCCCCCACCCCCCCGTCCATTTTCAGTAGGCAGAAATTAGTAGGCTAACACTTTCTCTGCCAAACAACTGATGATCTAAAAATGATTAAAGGTATTAAGGGAATTCTGCTCCTTATTAATTCTGAGTTCCTTCTATGAATAGGCATGAATAACTCATGACGTCACTGTTTTGTAAATTTAGGTATTTCGATATTGGTTTTTCTTAAACTTCCGTCTTTGCCGCTCCGTTCTGCCCACTGAGCACCCCTTAAACACACACACCACCCACACACCGCACACCACACACCTGCCCCACAAGAGCGGCAGGCTGGGGAGGGTCTGGTCTCTTGTCACCAGCCCGGCACCTACACGAAACAAACAAGGTCTTGTGCGGCCACCTAGTGGAGCCTCCTCCTCACTGCAGCCCCTCGTAGTTTCTGGAAGAGCTGAGGGAAACTGCAGGCAGCCGCTGCTCTGAAGATGGCCCACTTCTTCAACAGGCCTGCGACCCGCGGTGGAAGGTGAGCCGGGCGAGAAAGGAGGGGGAGCGCGTGGGCGCGCGCAGGCGCGTCGCTGCCCCACTTCCGCTGGGCTGCGTGGCCCAAGGCTGCGCGCGTGAGGCCGGGCGGCCCTGATGCAGGCGAAGGAAGTGATGTCATGGCCGCCTCCTCAGAGCCGCCTTGGACCAGAGGGTGGGGGTGGGGAGAGGGGACGCGGGCCGGGGCGAGCCACACAGCCCTTGTCTCCCGAGGAAAGCCAGCCTCTGCGAGACTTGTTTAGCAGAGATCCCTCGCCTCCGTTTTGAACTCTCCATTGGAGTCCTTGGCAGAAGGGTCCTTTGGGTGGAGAAACTAATGGTGGAGGACACAGAAAAGGAACAGCAGAATGGTGACCGGAGAGGAGAGCCAGCAGAACCCAGCAGCCCCTGGGCAGTGGGGTTTCAGTGAGGAGGGGTTGGGACCAGAGTGTCCAACCTGGAACCTCCCCCATCTTCGGAGATCACTCAGTTCCGGGCCCCAGGAAGGAGGTGGCACTGGGAGACAAAAGTAAAAGATCAGCCCTGATCAGACACACACCATTACTAACACCTCTTTCCAATTTTATACACCGTCTTGCAGGTGCTGAAATGCGTAGTACCATTGCGTGGCTTCGCCTTTCCTTTGCTAATTTTGTGTGTTCACCTGAAAAAAAAAAAAATGTCTCCAACGTGCACCACATTGGACTTTATCTTTAGCCCTGGTTCCCATCTTTACCCAGAATAGCTCTGTGTGAGCCTTTCTCAGGTGCCTACAAATTCTGCCTCTAAAGCCTTAGGTTTCTCCCCTTGAACAGAACTTGTCCTCAAGCCTGCTGTCCATGCTCGTCCACACCCACTCCCATTGCCAGTGTCTCCAAAGAGCAGTTTATGCTGACCACTCTGTCCCTACCCTGTTCCCATCTGTCTTCTGTCCTAACCAGTCCACGGAAACTGCTCTTTTAGAGATTGCTCATGACTTTCTCATTGCCAAATCCAAAGGCCTCATTAATAATAACATGTCAGGTTTGGTATTTTATACAGTCACAGCTCCTGGTGTTCAAGGATGTAACTTTATTTTCCTAGAACTGACCTCAGACCAGGAACTCAACCTCCAATGTCTGCTTGGCAGCATAAAATGTAGTCTTTCCTAATTCAAGATAAATTCAGCCACTTCTTTTTTTTTTTAAGATTTTATTCATTTATTTGTCAGAGAGCCAGAGAGCACACAAGCAGGGGGAGCGGCAGGCAGAGGGAGAAGCAGACTCCCCACTGAGCAAGGAGCCCAATGTGGGACTCGATCCCAGGACCCCGGGATCATGACCTGAGCCGAAGGCAGACGCTTAACCGACTGAGCCACCCAGGCATCCCAAACTCAGACACTTCCGTTTTATTTTTTTCATCCATATACAAGCACTAAACTGGGGGATTATAATTCAAAACTAAGCTTTGTTTTCTGGTTCTCTGGGCAGGTCTGTTTTCTACATAATTGTATATTGCTTTGTCCTTTGTATTATGGTAAGAATAACATCACATAATAAAAATACGTGATTTAAAAAAATTTTTTTAAGTTTTTATTTAAATTCCAGTTAGTTAACACAGTGTAATATTAGCTTCAGCTTTACAATTTAGTGACTCAACACTTACAGATAACACCCGATGCTCATCACAACAAGTGCCCTCCTAAAATCCCCATCACCTATTTCATCCAGCCCTCTATGCACCTTGCCTTTGGTAGCCATGAGTTTGTTATCTATAGTTAAGAGTCTGTTTCTTGGGACACGTGGATGGCTCAGTCGGTTAAGCGTCTGCTGTTGGCTCAGGTCACCATCCCAGGGTCCTGAGGCTGAGCCACATCATGTTCCCTGCTCAGCAGAGAGCCTGCTTCTCCCTCTGCCTCTCCCCCTGCTTATTTTTTCTCTCTGTCAAAGGAATAAATAAAATCTTTAAAAAAATAAATAAATAAGAGTCTGTTTCTTGGTTTGCCTCTTTCTTTTTTCCCTATGATTATTCGTTTTGTTTCTTAAATTCCACATATGAGTGAAATCATATGGTACTTGTCTTTCTCTGACTTATTTCGCTTAGCATAATTCTCTCTAGTTCCATCCATGCCGTTATAAATGGCAAGATGTCATTCTTTTTTTTTTTTTAAAGATTTTATTTATTCATTTGAGACACAGAGATACAGAGAGAGAGAGAGAGAGCATGAGCAGGGAGAGAGGCAGAGGGAGAGGGAGAAGCAGGCTCCTCGCTGAGCCAGGAGCCCGACGCGGGGCTCGATCCCAGGACCCTGGGATCATGACCTGAGCCGAAGGCAGACGCTTAATGACTGAGCCACCCAGGCGCCCCGATGTCATTCTTTTTATGGCTAAGTAATATTCCATTGCATATATATACCACATCTTTATTCATTCATCTGTCGATGGACATTTGGGCTGTTTCCATAGTTTGGCTATTGTTAATGCTGCTATAAACATCAGGATGCATGTATCCTTTTGAGTTAGTATTTCTGTATTCTTTGGGTAAATACCTAGTAGTGCAATTGCTGAGTCGAAGGGTAGTTCTATTTTTAACTTTTTGAGGAGCTTCCATACTGTTTTCCAATTCTGTTTTAGAACATGATCTCTTTTGGGTAGCTATTCAGGAATTGCCTTCTCTTTATTCTCTCTACTCCTTTCAGTCTCTGCACCTGCAGAGGACATGTGCCTGGAGGGTGGAGCTTATGCATCACTCTGGTTTGGGGAGGAAAGCAGTGTCCGGCCCATCGTGACGCTCTGTCCACACCAGCCTCCGCGGAAGCAACTCTTCCTCCATGTCCCATTGTCCCGCTGTGCCAAGTGTCCACCATTCCCTCCCCTTGCCTTTATTCTCATGGTCCGGACTCCAGTTCTTGCAGTTCACTTTGGCTAACACTTTCTGCCAACTCACCGAGGCTCAGAGCCTCTTATCCATCCTTCTTGGTGGCCACAGTAACTTTTTAGGCCTTTTCTCATTTTGCCGAGGCACCTGCGGCTCTGTGTAGCCACTCTAGACCCTCGCTGCTCTACTCTTCCATCACCGTTCCGGATGTGGCAATTCTCTGGGAGCGGTTGTTCTCCCTGGGACATTCTGAGAGGAGAGACACATGTACCCTCTGCTATGACATCCCTGGTGACATGCACATTTCAGTGACTGTGACTACAATAGGAAACAGAGTTCACATCATGGCAAAGGACATGCACACAACACGAATGAAACAATAGCTTCATGAAACCATACGTAGCATGACTCCTTGCAGTGTACTTTGGTATTTTCTATTCCATTCCATTTCATCTCTTTTAATGCCTGTTTTAACCCAATAAATAAATCAATTTTATGATCCAAGAGTAAGTCTCAACCGCCAATTTGAAAAACACTGTCCTTATAGTGGGTTTCTATTGTTCACTTCCCCGGGGATTTGGCTCATGGGGTGGGCGTTGGGCCCCAAACCAAAAATCAGGAAACAGTTTCACACACATTTTTGTTCTTTCTCAAAATGCACAGCTTTCAGAATAAAAGAAAGTCCTGTCTTTCAAGATGTTGTCTCTACTACGAGTTTAAAATAAATCCATTCAGACATTCAACAGACTTTATTCTCAGCTTTATCTACTCTCAGTCTGAGAACAATGTCTGTAGAATATGACAGAGTGGTAGAGGAAATAATGAGTATAAAGAAGCACAAGGAAATAAAACCTCACTGAATATTTCCAAACATTTTATGTTCTATTGGTAATATTAATAATAATAGCTAATAATGATTCAGTGCATATTATGGGTCAGGCACTATGCTTAGTATTTCACATTTATTATTTCAGTTAATCATAATGGCTTATCTACAATATGGTACTAATATTATCCCCATTTTATAAAAAGGAAACAAAAACTAATCTAAATTTGACTCTGTTCCCTCCCTGCACACTTGAAGACTGTTACTCATGTTCATTTCTTTCTTTGTGATTACTCCACGTCTATAAAATGACGGAGGAGGACTAGACTGTATCTTTCAGTTCCAAAAGGGCTCAACCACCTTCTCAAAAGCATGGCTGCTTTCTACTCAGTTTGAAAACTAATGGTTTTATGGTAAGCTGAGTTGGACCTTCACACGATCCCTTCTGCTGCTTAGTCACTCCCCATCCAGGGCTCCATAAGTCCTAGAACTTATCAAGGTCATCCACAACCTTTTCCTAAACTAGAAGGGACTGGGAGTCCTTCCTAGTTCTTAGCAGCCTGCAGGCCCTTAACAGAAATGACTGTAGTAGTTTTTCTTTATTTTGTCTCAAACACACATCTGTAAAAGGAAGAAAGATGCCTGGGTAATGCAAACAAAAGACAATTACAAACTTTTAATTTTCCCAATTTGGTTAGTTTGTGTATTTAGTAACTATATTTGTTGAGTATTTGTTGAATATTTATTGAATATGTAGGCACTATTCTTTTTCTTTTTTTAAAGATTTATTTATTTGAGAGAGAGAGAACGGGGGGGGAGGGGCAGTGGGAGAGAGAGGGGAGAGAGAAGCAGACCCCCACTGAGTGAGGAGCCCAACATGGGGCTCCATCTCACCACCGTGAAATCATGACCTGAGCTGAAACCAGGAGTTGGATGTTTAACTGACTGAGCCACTCAGGCGTCCCTGTAGGCACTATTCCACATACTACTAGTGGTGAGCAAGATAGATCAAACTCTTGCTTGCCCTTCTGGGCTCCTGGGTGGCTCAGTTGGTTAAGTATCCAACTCTTGATTTCAGCTCAGGTCACGATCTCAGGGTCTTGAGATCAAGCCCTTCATGGGGCTCCTTGCTGGGCGTGGAACCTACTTAAGATTCTCCCTCTCCCTCTGCACCCCCCCTCGAAACCCCCTGCCCAAAACAAAAACTCTTGCCCTTCTAGAGTTTACATTCTAGAGGGGCTGGTTTCAGGGAAGGGCAGACACTGACTGGCACTTTTCAACCTTCTTTTAAATCACACCTCCCAGTAAGAAATACTTTTTGC